GCGTGGTACAGAAGCCAAGGCACGTTAGAGGTGCCCCAAGAAACCACTGGACGCAGATTGCATCGCCCCCATACTAGCAAAAGTTGCCAGTAAAAACTTCAGGAAAGTTTGAATTAGGCTGACCTATTTAGATGGCATCGCTCCCTACACCCAAATCAACCAAATCCATTTGGGTTGCAGTAGTCATGACTCATGAGTCCTAAGCGTTAATAATTTTGGTTAATCTTGATGAAAGTTTGAATTAGGCTAAACCATGCCAAAAAAGTTAAAAAAAAGGACTTACACGCATAATTCTCAAACTCATCACAGAGTTTCATCCTGATCCAGATTGCCAATCTTCATTATTGCATCCGAATGTTCTCGTGGTTATGTCAAGTTCTTGTTTTGAAACCAAATTCTACTGGCACAACATGCTATAGCAACTCATCAAAATGAAAAAGGAGAGAGATGGATAGTACAACAAAGATACAAGATCCAAAGGGAGGAGTCATGATTCACGCTTCATCATCCCACTCCAATTAGCCCAGTGCACAAACAGCAGCCTGCCATATATATTGCTGGCAAGTCGCATGCCCACTGTAAAAGCCAGTGCAGCAAGTGGAACCTGCTTTGCTAGGGGTGATGCTTGAACCAATCGATCCAATCCCTTGACAATCTGAGAGCGGGAACCAGAAGAAAGTGGAAGGAGAACACCTGGTGACCAATGAGAATACTGAATTAAAGCATACGAATGCAGAGCAGCAACTCTTTGCAGGAGCAATTCAGAATGTGTCCCTTTCGGCTCGGAGTTTTATTCACAATGGTAGTCAATTGTGTGACATCACATGGTTGGTTGGATTAAACCAGAAAATCACATTTACCAAGCACCTAAAAAGTTCGATTTTTCATGCATCTAGATGGCCATCAAGGAAAAATTTAGGAAAGGGAAACCGTTAACTAACGAGGAACACAGACAAGTAATAGAGAAGAATCACAGATATATAGGAGATTGAACTGCTCTGTTTGGCTTATAAATGACTAAATCATCATCAGAGATAAATATGCAGAGAAATGAATTTCTTAGGTTGAGTAGTAAGAGGTACCCTACCCCAGAGGGCAGCATTTTTAACCATGTAGGAAACAGGAATGCCCTCTTCTGACTTCTTGGTGTTCCTGCAACATCAAAGTAGAAATACCGCATAAATCTGTTGCAATTTGGAACAGCCATAATGCCCAAATTTCTAGTCATCTCACAGTCAGTTATATAACTTCTTAACAACTCAATTCTTCAGTTTCCCAGCTGCTTAAAGGGAAAGCATGGAGGTGGATATGAAGGTATTCTTTTAATAAATTCCTGACTGAGGAAAATGTGATTGCATTGTAACAGCTTATTGGGTCCTCAAAACTTTGCTCCTTTAAGTTTATCGTTCAAAATCCAGATTCTAAGAGCAAGATGAATTATTTAGGTTCATTTAGGTTCTGCTAATGGCACTGAACAAGCTGAATTATTTGAGACATAAACCAAAGTTCTTACTGTTTAGATTTTGAGTAAGAACCTCAGAATGAGTTCCAACGATGATGATAGTTTCTTTAACTCAGTATCCCCATACATAACAGTATAACCAGACCATCAAAAGCTTAAAACCACTTTGTTTCTTAGTGTAATATTAAGTGGTAAGAAGAGGTTGTCCAATTAGAATCTTTACCTATTACCAGTCATGACAAATTTAATTATGTTGTGACGAGTAAGCCCACAACCAAGTCCAACAGCGCCAAACAAGATACCCTGTATTAAGCATGAGAATTGTGTAGTCAATGAAACAGAAATAGTAAACAAGAATCACACCCTGAGACTCCCATTAGGTATCACACAAGAACTAGGAGTGCAAGAATGCAATACAGAGAAATCTCCAACAACCAAGCTCGGCAAATATAAAGGGAAACAGTCTATATACAAAGATTTATTTAATAGGGGATGTGATCCTTTACTTCTTCTAATCTGCCTGAAAGTACTGACAGTCAATAGATACATGTAACATTTATTACCTTGTAAAAATAGGCAGCAACCTGTTGCTCCAAAGAAAAGTTGAATCCTGGACCTCCACCTTCAAATATACTATCATAAAAACATTCACAATTAAGACATTTAAATACTTCGTTGGAACAGCAAGCAACATGCACAGATTACACGAACTTAGCAAACTCAAAATGTCCAATAAGAGAAGAGGTTATGAACAAAGAGTTTTTTCTTATGAGATTCAGGACAGATGCAACCTTATTGGAGTGAAATGGTCAGTAAATTTTAGTTGAAAACCTAATTAAAGAATCAATATTAGGGTCCATAACAATTAGTAAGATGTATACAGCTAAATAGTTTCCAATGCTTGGGGGTGGCTAGGGGAAAAATGAGGTTATGTATTTCTGTCATTGAATTGGAAAGGGAAAACTCCCTAATTCTTGTACTTGGATGTACTCTGCCATTTACTCATAAATGTATCCTGCAAACTGATAACTAAGCCAATAAATCCTGATTGTCCAATGCAGAAACTGGATTTACTTCTGCAGGACATCACCCAATCATCACTACCTAAGGCAACAACCTGCGGGATTTGACCTACAAGCTATGACAATAAATATTACCTCAATAATGCTCCTTCATATGTCATACATATATTCCCTGGATTTGCCATCATAAGATGGACTCCAAACTGGAACATATGGAACACAATTATTCACATCTTTTATGCCTGCCAGTACATTCAAGTTTGTAAACATGAAACACTGAGCTTTTGAATCACTATAACTATGTTTCAATTCATTGCTCAGCGTTATCATCAGCAGTTCATCCCAACAATACTCTTGGTTTTCAACTACCCATTTACAGATTAAAAACCATGTTTCCATACAAGCCAACATGTACGCGATCATTATTACTGAGACAAGATAATAGAATCAAACAGTAGTAATGTCAATGTATATCTCATAGAATTAGTCCAAAAATCCATCAAAACCAAGGAGTTTGTAAGCTTGCAAGATCAGAGGAAAATCTGATAAACAATCTAAAAAAAGTGGCTTGTGTCCAAAGAATATTAGTTTTGAAGCTTGTGTTTGCACGTTGGTCCTAAAAAGTATTATTATACCTGCTTGGTAGAGAAGCAAAGGCACTTTGCAGGTGCCCCAAAAAACCACTGGAAGCAGATGATAGTGGCCCCATACGAGCATAAGTTGCCAGCATTTTATCCAGAGCAATGTTGGCTGCCACCCCAAACAGGATGTCTACAGCGAACAATTTAGACCAAAACTCCTTCCCCTTCTTCTGAAGTCCGGAAAATATTGAAGAAGAATAGCGAGTGACCACCTACAACACATGATGATAGCAAATATAAAAAAAAATAAAAAAATAAAAAATTGGATAAACTAGTGAAACCAAAATGGAAAGTTGACTACAAAAGGCCAGTGTACAAGCTAGATTTCAACCTTCAATCAACAGCTTGTTCCTCTAAGTTTACATAAGCTGCATTTTAGCATATTTCAATACTTTCTAGCAAATGCAAGACAACACAGTTGCACAAAGAACGGTAATCATGCTGGCTGAGATCACTAAACTTTAAGAATCCCAAATATATCATATTGAGCATTTTCACGAGAAAAGTAGGCCGTGACAAGCAATGAACAGACCCCAAGCCCAAGCCCCACGTCTCCTTCTCTCATCGTCAAAATAAGAAGAGGAATAAGAAGCTGAAACAACAACGGCTAGGGACACCGAACAATGCTACAAGAACTAAAGTGAGCAATTTAGTCTTGCCAAGCAACAGAATGAACAGACGTGAATAAATTGCCCTACAATTTCTTCACATATTTACCTCTGTCACAGCTTTAAACAGAAATGGATCAGCAAGCTCAGGATTTCTAAGTATCCAGCAGGACGTCATCAAGAAACCCACAGGCCCCATCAACCCCTGCATTTCATCGAACTAATTAAAAGCTGGGCATCGGAAAACTCTTGCACTAGAATTAATTAAGCAACAACAGTATGCAGATGTATGAATTGGTAAAAGAACTAGAGAATTTCGAGCCAACAAAAAAAATTTACCAGAATTGGGATTTCCCTATTGTCTTCTCCTCCAGGACCACGGCCACCACCTCCAGACGGCGGCGGTCTCCCGTTGCCGCCATTTCCGCCGCTTCCAGCGTTGCTGGTTTGCTGACTCACTTGGCCACCCTGAATAATTATTTTACAGTTTGATTGCGAAATATTAAAGGTATAAGCTGAGTTACAAATTGAGGGAAGTTGACGCCCAAAGCCGCCAAATCCAAACATCCCATTCTGGGCTGCAGATTGGCTCGTTGAGGATTGGGGCTGCGTTAGGAAACAAGAGGATTGGAGAAGGTAGGACATTTGTAATAATTAAAGAGGGAGCACTGCAGAACAGAATCTCTCGTGGAAAGTAGCTTTTTAATGTTAAACTGAAATACGGCGGAAATCCTGGGACAGAGCCTTTTTATAGAAAGAATCTGAATATTTGTCCTTGCGTGCGGGCAGTTTAGTTAACGCTCCTAGATTTTGGAAACCCGGAAAAAGTCGGCTTTTGTTTTGTTTCAGCAGGAGTTGGATAATAATAATAGGCCCCGCTTGAGTTTGACGCCAGATTGGAATTTGGTAGACGTGGAGTTTCGTTTCGCATCCGGGCACAAGCCACCAACCATGGGTTTTGCTCATTTATCAACCTAAGGTAGACTAAATGCTTAGGAAAGTCTCCAAGGGTGCGTGGTTTTGATGACGTGTCAGTTCATGATTTGCTGAAATGTTGTCGTCCTCCAGCTGCTCACGTGACTTGATGGTTGGAAATTGGGATATGAATTCCGTTTGTGAGCCACCGAGTCTTTTTGCTTGCATCCAACCCACTAAAGAGAGTGATAATAGTAGTAATAGTCCTTTTTCTTTTTCAAACACAGTGGTTGGCCTATTTCTCTTTCCCACCTTACCTACTGTCAGCCTTTTTGGTCACACCTACTGGATCAGAACCATCTTTTATCTCTCCCTCTTTGTTCATCGTCTCTCTCTCTCTCTCTCTCTGTTTCTTTTCGTTTCTTCATCTCCGACGAGAAAGCCCCCTTCTTCTCTTTCTCTTTTCTTTGTCTTCGTCTTCTGATGGAGAATAATGATAAGCCAAAAAAGATGGTTTATATATATACTTTTAAAGGTTCTTGTTTCTTCCTTTGCAGAACTTCTCTAGCCCTCATTTTTTTCTTTTTTTTAAAATGGGTTGTAGTTGTCTAATTTACATATTTCTGATGTTGCAGGTGACAAATTGGAAATTACTTCCGGCAACCTGATGACATCTTGCAAGTCTTTTGTTTCCTTTTCTAAAGTGCATTCTGTATGCTTAAAAGTTTTGATTCTTCTAATTCCTGCACTTTCTTATGCCCGAGTTCTTTTGTACTTTTTTTTTTTTGTTTTCTGAAGAAACCGTGTTGTGGGTTTTTCTGTTTTTTCCCAATAGAGCAAGGGATCAAATGATAAAGGAGGCATCTTTTTCAGGTTTGAGGTTATGTTTAATAGTTTTTATCAATGATTTTTTAAATCAATAGCCTATTGTTGTTTTTTTGCTTGAACTATTTTTATTTATCGGTAGCCTTCTTGATTTTCAAGTTTAGAAGAGATTTTTGCAGTTTTTTGGGACAAAAACAGCTTGGATGAGTTTTTAGGAAAATTGCCTTGGTGAGTTTCTTGCTACGGATTTATGTGTTTTGGACTATTGTTATCTAAGCGCTTTTGTAACGTTGTCTTTTTTATGAACTGACTTCAAGTTTTTTCCTCCTTTTTTTATAACTGCTGTTGGTATATGCTTTTACCGTTGTGGCGAGTTCATTTTAAACTTCCTGCCTTTTTCTTTCTGTTTTCAGTTTTTCTTTCTATTCTTGTGATTGCCTGTTTTACATCCGTATGGTATGCCTTTTTTTGTAGAATTCGCTGGCCTTTTGATTCTTGCAAGGGGCCTTCTTTGAAGCTAATCCTTTGTCATTTGTTGGGACAGGAATTCTGTTGCAGGTCAGATGCTTATTTATTTGTCTTGTTTGCTTTTTCCTTTTGTCGTACATTCTTTATTTAGTTGCCACTTTTGCTTTTCCGTTTTTAGTTCATGCATGAGTATCACCTCTGCGTAATAGTTGTTAACTCGCATGTAAGAGTTGCCATGCATGGTTTAAAAAATTTATGCTCTGTTCTTTTTGCTTCTTACTTTTTGGCAATAGAGCTGGTATGCATGCATGTTTTTTATTTCATTGTATCATATATCTTATGTTCTTTACAGCAGTTCGTAAATGTTGTTTTTGTTCTTCTTTACAATCATTCGACTATAGTTTTTGGTGGCTATTGTAAATTGCCATTGGCTGATTTTTTTTTTTTTTTGGACTGATGGTTCTTAGTCATTTAAGTCAGGTGGATAGAAATACTATTCGTCAAAAATGGTATATTGAAATGTCACAGAGTGAGAAGGCTGCACTTTCATGTCGGAGGCATGAAGCCAGGCTTTTGGAAAAAAAGGGAGAAATCCTCACGCTCTTATGTTCATAGGGTACCGTTTGGTTGCATAGAAACCGGTGTTTGTTTTCCTGGTTCTACTCTTGAGGGCGATAGCAAGCTACTCTTGAAGGCTGTGGTTTTACTCCTCGAGGTATATGTGCCGTTGTAGTATTTTACTCGTCTATTCTGTATCTGTTAGTTTATTTAGCCTTGTGTCAGATCATTATCTTTGAATGGCTTCACGTTTCTGTGCCATTTACGATTGAAGCCATCTATTTTTGCACATTACAGCAGCTCCATTGAATGACATAGTTCAGGTTACAAAAGGTCAACCAGAATCTAGTGCTGGAAAAAAAACTGTGTCTTCTCATCTTTGGCCGAACGTTTGGCCTTCTATTAATGATCAGCCTTCTTAGCACAGTCATAAAGAAGTCTTACCTAAAGGATTGCCTGACCTCTTAGATAACATTACAGTCTTCAATGAGAACGAACAAACTTGTGATTCTCAAAATGTCAACCAAATAACATACTTCAATCTTTAAAGGACTCAAACTCTGGAATCCTTAACTCTTTGAACACTCCGTCTTTAAATCGTTTGTCCAGAGACTGTGTTTCCTCTTCTATTGCATTGAATCCCTGATCTTTCAGCATTCCGCGAGGTAGAGATATTACTGCATCCAACAAATCATTCTTCTTGCTTTTCTTATTCAGCCTTTAGTATCGTTGTCTTTCATAAACTATTCTTAATAAAATAAGGCCGTCTATTTATGCACGTTGCAGCAACTCCATTCAATGACAGAGCTCAGCGTTAGAAATGTCAGATAGAAACTAATGCTGGAAAAAGGAAGAAAAAGGAAAAAAAAAAGGACATCTATCTTTTGATTCCTTACCTAATGACCAGCCTTGTAAGGGGAGGCATGGAAATGCATTGTCTAAGGCATGGTCTCCTATTTCAGAAGTTAACATTGCGATCTCTTAAGACAATGAACAAACCTGTGGTGCTTGATGTTAAAATACAGCTAACATCTTTGAACCTACGCGGAACTTGAATTCTAAAATTCTTGGTTCTTTGCACAGTCCATTTTTGAATTGCTCGTTAAATGACTGTATTTATTCTTCTACTACATTGAATCTCCAGTCTTCTAGTACTTCTCAAGATACAAATATTATTATGTGTACCAATTATTTTGCTTGCTTTTCTTGTTCAATCTCCGGTACTTAAAAAAAATTCTTCTCCACTTCTAAGATAATGTTGTGTCTTTTGGGCACCTTATTAGGATTTGCCATTGCAGATATCCCATCGATTCAGAAAAATATGGTGGTTCATTCTCAAATAATAAATGATGTGTCGACTAACAAAGATGGGACCAGCAAATCATCTGATATTCCTGTTGGTTTTGCAACTCGAACGAAGGATCATACAAATGCTATGCCGACAAGAACGACGCAGTCAGGTTAGTTGATATGTAGGTTATGCTGAAAGGGGGCAAAAACGTTTCATCCTTGTTGGAGTATCGTATATGTGATGAATATGTATTTCTGTCCTTGAAATATTAAAAAAAAAGAGCAGCTGCTTATAAAATCCTTGAGCATTAACTGCCTTAAGCTTGATTATGATACTATTTGATCATTTGTTTCAGGAGGGCTCCCACAATATATGTTAACATTTTCTCTTGGGAAGCTGCAACACAATTTCCAATAGCAACACAGACAGCAAGAGGAGGGGCAAGTTTCTCTTCCTACTGTTACTGACTGTCCATTTGAGTATCAATGTTAATTATTATATATTCTAAGCTGAATATTCTGCGGATCTTGGCAGATGCAATGGGGCTTGGGAAAACTGTGATGACTATTGCTCTGATTCTTGCAAGGCAAGGCAGAGGTACCCTGAGGATTAAGAATCGATTGCCAAAAGTGAGGGTGATACAGAGTACATCAAGAAAAAGAAAGAGGAATCTGATCTCAAACCTTTTAGAAAAGTGAAAGGCAACACCCTCATTATTCGTCCTATGGCGTTGCTTGGCCAGGGAAGGTGAGTCCCTATAATATATTTGATTCAGCCAGAATAACAAAGTTTTCTGAGTTTGTATGCATTCTGAATAGGTTTAGCTACATTGTTCTGAAACTGCATTACTGATTTTCTGATCGTATGTTAGTTAATGGATAGGCACAAGGATATACTGTCGTCTTCTCTGAATAAGAATTTACTGAATGAACAGGATGAACTTGAAACACACTCAAAGCCAGATAGCATCTCCGTTTCTGTCTTTTTTGGTGGGGATCGGAGCAGTGACCCTAGAGTGATTGCTGAACCTAATGTGATCTTGACCACATACAGTGTCTTAACAGCTGCTTGTAAGAATATAAGCTAGCTATTTCCATTTTTTGTTACTTTCCACCACCGAAATCCATTTACTTGCAGCTTATAAGAATGAAAAGCTGGCCATTTCCATTTTTTTTAGTTTCCACCACTTAAATCCAATTGCTAATGCTGCTTGTTCTTTTCCCCTGTTGAAACATTTTTAATGATTACTATTTTATATGTTCAACACAGGATGGGGAGAATAGCATTTTCCACACAGTTGACTGGTACAGAGTGGTTTTGGATGAAGCTCATACCATCAAGTCCTCTAAAACTCTAGGTGCCCAGGCTGCCTTCAAATTGTCATCCTATTGCATGTGGTGTCTTACTGGTACCCCTCTTCAGGTATGGCAGCAGCAAAGAATTCTGGCATTAGTTGAACAAGTGCCCGAGTAATGTTTTTCCTGATTGTTATTAAACCACTGGCTATTGTCTAGCATGTATCAATTAAGGTCATTATCAATTGCTGCAGAACAAGTTGGAAGACCTTTATAACCTACTTTGCTTCTTGCATGTTGAACCATGGTGTAACTAGGCTTGGTGAACTTTATTATTTTTTTTTTTGACAATTTTATGGCTGATGCTCGAGATGATTTAAAAACAAGCAGTTAGTATTCAGTTTTTGCGTCACATTTCCTAGAAAAATTGTTCAAAGAGTTAAAGATGGCCAAATCTTTTTTTTTTGTTTATTGTTATTTTTTTAATCAACATTATAATGCAAATGAGCTTGTTCCCTCGCTCTTCCCATTTGCTGAAATTTGTTTACTGCTTGTTATAGGTGGCAAAAACTGATTCAGAAGCCATATGAGAGTGGTGATTATAGAGGGATAAAGCTGATCAAGGCTATTTGGAGGCCACTAAAGCTCTACTATTTACAGACAGAAGTGATTATCATTTCTTTTAATGTAATAACTGTTTCCTTCTATTTCTTCAACAGCTTATAGTACTTTCTTTTTTTATCTCCACCAAAATGTAGATTTAACTCAACATCTCCTGACTACTCTACAGGGAAATATAGTTATATGTTACATCAAGCCTTCTCCTTCTAGATTTAGACTGACCAGATATGTAGCTCATGAAATAATCACTGCCTATGGATGAAGCTCTCAATATTGACAACCTCAACATCAACAATCTCAAGATTAATGACTGACAATCTACTTCTTGTGTTATTTTTAATTGTACCTTTGCTACACCGACGATTTACAATCTACTTATTATCTGTTTTTAGTCATAACTTTACTACATCTATAGTCTATTATGTCCTTTATTATACTTTTCGATTTCATTTTTTTCTATTTTCTAGATTCTTATTAGCTTATTGAGCAAACCTAGGCATGCCAGTCTTTGAATTCTACACCGCGCGTACGCGCGGTGTACACCTCCTAGTTCAACACAAACGACTTAACTAACTCCTCCATTTGTTTAGAATGTGTAAATTACTTTCACTGTTTCAACGCAATATACATATTGAACAAAAAAATTTTTGTGCATTAATAACGAGTATCTCGACGACTCTGTTAAAATCCCTTTGCATTGCAGGGACAAAGGGAAAAAGAGTTTGAGATTCTTGATTACCTAAACAAAATTTTTATCAGCTCCTAAAGTCATGTTTTGAGAGGTTAAAGTTCAGAGTTTATTAGGTAAACACATCATAGATGAGCTTAAACGGGCCGAATCGACTAGGGTTGGAGTAGTCTCATTCAATATTAGTGTTAAACATTTTGTCTAATTGAAGAACTTTGACATAAATTTCAAGATCATATGGCAACAATACTAAATATGAACCTTGCACCTGTGGGTGGCTGAGAATGGCCCCGGACTTGATGAATTTTCACTGTCTAAGCATGTAGTACTTTGTGAAAGGTACATCTCTTTCTCCAGTTGGCTGGTTGTGCATGCATATATATGAGAATTGAAGGACCAATTTTGTTTGCTTCTTGAATGCTACTAATGTGTTACTATATTGAAATTAGTGTATTTTTTTTCCATCTTTAGACAATAAATCTTTCTATTCATTGAATTTTCGCCAATAATATATTCATAGTGCAAACATATTGGTGGCTGAATTTTAAAATCATGGCTCGTGTATACTTAAACGGAGTACAGATCAGAAAAGAAAGAAAGTAATACCTAAATGATGATTTTTTTTTTGTCAAAACAATAACATTTGTATTGATTTAAACTTGATATTACAAGTATACTTTACAAAAGAGGCAACCTGCCTTCACAATCCTTTCGTGCTAGATCTTTTATCTAGCCCGGAAAATTTGTTTTCCGATATACATCATTAACTGACTTCAAAGCGAATTTTGCTAGCCTATGACACAACTCATTTCCTTCTCTACATATAAAGGAGAAATTGCATTCATCAAAAAAACTCCCTCAACTTTTGTATATCCTCCAGAATCACAGCATAACTGCAGTCGTTGCAGGAATCTGTTGTAATGCAGTCTATCATACTTTTGCAATCCGATTGTATTTCAATCTTCCTCCAACCTGCTTCTTTTCCTAATTGCATAGCTGTTCTGATTGCCAAAGCCTCCTTTATTCCTGGTTCTCCTATCCTTTCCTCCATTATGGCCCAAGGCTTTCAGGATCTCTCCTTTTCAAATTTATACAAATTTAAACTTGAAATAATTTCTTTTTTCACTAGTAACTTTAGATCATGTTACATAACATAAATTTAAATTTAAAATTCAAATCATGCATATGTGATATACATTTAAAACTATTAATGAAAACAAATCATTACACTGTTAGTGTATAAAAAGTTGATCTTTGATCTTTATATATACCATAAAACAATTCGTAAAAGTTGCCAAAAAAAAAGTAGGACATTGGACAACAAACTGCGTCTTTCATTTTGTGTTGTTACCCTTTCCTTGGTTTTTTTTTTTTTTTTTTGGGGAGGGGGGGGGGGGGGGGGGGGGGGGGGGGGAGGGATAGCTTCGTGAGTAATGGTTTGGGCCAAAAGTGGGCAACAGGTTAAGAACTCAGACCAAGGCCCAGTTCGGTTCTTTTCCTTCACGTGATCTAAATAATATCACACATGTAGCGAAAAAACTGAAAACCTTCGAAGTCATAACCCAGAAAAGAAAATCATTTTGACTTTGGGTTAAAGATGCTCTATCTCAACATTCTTTGTTTTTTTTTTTCGTGTAAATTAGATTAATTCGAGGTGTAATTATGATGATACATCTATTCATTCATGATTGCATTGTAATTTCTACAAGAAAAATATAATTCACTTAAATTGCTCCAATTGTTTGGATTATTTAAAAGACATTTGAATTTAGAATTCACCAATTATCAAATTATATTTCAAACAATATAATAATTTATTATTTACAAATTCAAATACATCCTAAATAGCCTAAACAATTAGAGGGATTTGAGAAGATTTCAAATCTTTCGTCAAATTCTTAAATCCAAATGAAGCCTAAGTTCAAACTGATTTTGATCCAATTAGAAATAGTAATTAGGTCAATAGCAATATACTTAGACAACATTTGATTATTTCGCTTAAATAAAACATTTGATGATTTCACAAGATATCGACAAAAAATTCACAAATTCCCACCACTTGTATGCATTTTAAACCGAAGTTCTTTTCATTATGTTTTTGTGTCTCTTTTCTATTAATGAAAAAACACAATCATATAAACCAAAATTCAGTTTGAGTATTAAATATGGCTGGTCATATCTAGCTTATATATTGAATAAGAATTTAACAGAACAATAAAGAACAAGATTTTACCCCCAAAAGAAAAAACCATAGGTCATCGGAGAATAGAAAGATGGGGAAGAAAAAGGATAACTTAAACATTTTTCCTCTCTTTATTTATTTGTTTAGGGTGTATGGGCTTGGAGAACAAATTCAATATTGGTCCTCTGAGTGTGCTTGGGTAGTAGATTATTTGAAATAAATTTTTGAAAAAATAGTATTATAATATTATTTTGAATGTGAGATAAAAAGATGATTGAAAAATGTATTTATAATGCAAGCAAATAAATCTATCTTTTCATGTGCATCTATTAATAGCAACTAAAATTCGGAGAACAGTAAAAAAAAGAATGCAACAGTTCTTTTTAACCCAGGATTTTTTTCACTAATTGTTATGTGGCTTATGTTCATATACAATTTTAGTTAAAGTCCGCATAGCCATAGGTACCTATTGAGGAGTATTGACAACACTTCCTGTCCTTTATAGAGTAAAGGGCTAACGTCAGAACCCTCCCTTGAGGTTTTTTCTAATATCATTTGGCACCTTTGAGGTTTTAAAAATATCATTTACCTCTTCTAATAATCGTAAAAAAATTATATTAACTCTCACTTGATCTATAATTCACATATCAAATAAATAGAGTTCAAAAATTAAAAAAAATAAAAAAGAAACGAAAGTCACTTTCTTCTCTCACACATTCTCTCTTATTTATTTTTTTGGATAACTATGCAATATTTTATTTGTAAATTATAATAAAATAAATGTTGTTTATCTTTTATTTCTTGTGATTATGATAGAGTGGGATGTAATTTATTTACTTATTTTGATTTAATTTTTACAATGATCAGTACAATTTAAAAGTTTGAGCATGCATTGAGAAGAAGTTGGAAAAAAAAAATATAAAGTTCATAAGAGATCGGTTTTGAGCATATAGAGTTAGACTGGCGCTAGTGTACTTCTCTGCAAATATCTTTTTATTTTTTTAAATTTATATTTTTATGGGTTATAGCATTATGATGTAATGGTACTACTAGAGATTGTTTTTTAGATGATAGTTTTCTTGAATTAGACAAAGTGATTTAGAAATATTTTTGTTTAGCAATAAAAGGGTAGTTTAGAGTTTTTAGAAATTGTGTGTTACACAAATAACAAAGGAAAGAGAGGTAAGTGATATTTTTAAAACCTCTCTTGCGGATACTGATATTATCCCTACAGTAAAACATACTTAAAAAAGAAAGCAAGTTGACAGCACGCAGTCTCTTCCCATCTATATATGGTGTTGTCCCTTTTTTCTCTTTTTCTTTTTCCAGTTCTTTTTGTTTCTTTTGGGAACGGGATTTATTATGTACGTTACCAGGCAGAGAATGTAGTTCCTTTTATCTGTTTTATACTCGTTAAATTTGTGGTTTCTGAAGTTTAAACTTGGACGTAATTGGTCTATGTGTTTCTATAATTTGTGATTTCATTATGTCTTCTTAACTGTACTCAAATGGAATGCACACCAAAAAAAAAAAAAGAAAAGAATGGGATCGAAACATGATTGGCTAAACGAGATTAATATTGGACTAAACACCCTTTTTGGCTTTCTTTAGCTTCCAATTGGCCTTTGCTTTATAATGATTACAACAATTTGCATCTCTCTTTTTAAACGAAAATTGGATGAAAGCCAACTTCGGGATTCAGTCAAATTCTACTTTTAAGTCTTCATTTAGGATCTGGTCAAGTCTCCCTATAAATTTCTTGGCAATTAAAAAGTAGGCCACACATCATCTTCACATCAATAATGTTCGTTGCTCTGGGCCAAAAGTAGTAGGCAATACGGCGTAAGAACTTGACCAAGATGCAGAGTTTGGTGAGCTTCGAGATCGATCATAATGCAGTGGTAGAGGCTCAACCATATATGCATGCTACTTCCAATAAAGTGCAGCAGATGGCGATTTTATTCCTAACATATTGCAACTTAAGGTAACCCTCAGAATTGCAGAACCTAAAGATTTTTATTCTTCCGTATTTGGTTCTTCTTTTCACGTGATCTACGACGTCAAACATATATATATATAGTAAATCTTATATACACTGACAGTGTATACGCTATCATCGTTGGATTTATAATATGTGTGTAAAAGTTGAATTTCAAATTCAAATTTTACATAATTATCATTCATCTAACGCTAACAGTGTATTATTGTCAGTGTAAGAAAAATTAATATATATATATATATATATATATGGTAGGGAAACTGAAAAACCTTCCAAGTCATAAGCCAGAAAAAGAAAATCGTTTTGACTTTGGGTTATAAGATTCTATTGGTTTATTTGATTGATCCAAGTGAGACCCGTATATTAAAAAATTGGACATTGCATTCTCACATAAATTTTTTTCACAAACCAATAGCAAAAGATCCCAAGAAGAATATTAGAAAAGAAAAATTCCATTTGCAGA